GTGCTTGTGGGGGTAGGGGGCACAGCATGCTGGCAGGCCAGCGGGGGGGCTGCGGGGCCCGGAGAGTGAGAGAGAGAGAGGCCGTAGCAAAAGGGGGCGTGCAGGGGACGTCCGGGCCGGGCCTGACCGTGGCGAGGCGCTCGCGATCATGCCACTCCCGATTTTATTTCGTCCCAAACCACCACATGCCCGGTCCTCTTCGGTCCCCTTCCTGTTCATTTCCATTCCCGAGCACGGCCGTGTGACGCGCGGGCCGAGCCCCGCTCCACGCCGAGCCCCGCCGCCGACGTAAAAGAAGAGTATGTAGCGGCGGTATGGCCTGGGGACCGGCCAGGTCCACCGGCTCGCGGTGCTAGCGCGGTGCGGGTGCGCGCCGGTGGCAGGGTGCCATGGGGACCGCGCCGTCGCGCCGCTACATCGCGGGGCGGGAGCGCCGAGCGTGGCCGAGCGCCGCCGCGCCTCTCAGGATCAGGATAGCGGCCCTCGCCTCGCGGCGCCTGCGGTGGCGCGCGGGATGGCCCGCGCGGGCGTGAAGCGAATCGGACGGATGAATAAGAAAGAGTGTCACCCTCACAAGGGACGCGCGTCGAGTGGGACGGGCCGCCCCCTCCGTACACTCCCCAGCCAGCAGCAGTGCAGTGTGCCGTGAGCCGTGCTGGCCGTTGACAACCTCCCTCTGTGACAGGCGGGCGCGGGCGGGGAGGGGGAGGGGGGCGAACAGCCTCGCGAACACACTCTCCGACATCATCGGTCTTCGTCAATTCCAGCGTCTCACCCGCCACCTCTCTTTCCGCTCCCCCGAGGGAGTCGGGTGCGCTGGGGGAGCTGGCGGCGGCCGTGACGCGCGCCAGGAACCGAGCAGCTAACGTGATTTGAATAAACTTGGAAGAAGAAGTTCTTGTTCATTTAAGATTTTAATTTTGATCTCGTGCGTCGCGACAGGGAGTAGTACATACGCGCGGTGGCGGTGTGGTGTCGGGCGGGCGGGGGATGATGCTTCTATACTAAGCGGCCTAACGCGCTGCAGCAGCCAGCGAGACGGGCAACCAAGGGGAAGGCAAACAGCTCCGCGGCAGCCACCTGCAGAGTGTGAGTGCGCCGCCGTGCCCCGCCGCGCCCCGCCGCAGCCGCTGGAGCGCGTCCAGTTTAAAGCCCATCCGTACTTCACCCCGACGACCCCCCACCCCCCATCCCCTATGCATATTCATTCGGGGGAGCGAGCGGCTCGGCGTGGCGGGGCGCGGAGCGGGGCGGATACGGGGTGGTGAGGGGCACCAGCCAGGCCCCATTCCAGGCCACCGCTGCAGCGCCGCCGCGGAGTGACGTCATGCCAGAGAGAGCGCGAGGGCTGCTCCCGTGATCGAACGGGACGGACAAGGACGGCGAGCGGCAGTGGCGGCAGCGGGAGGGCGGTGTGCGCCGCGCGGTGCGGTCCGCGACGTGCCTCGCTGGCGGGAGAGCGAGAGGAAAGGGGTGTGCTTGACGGGGTGAAGCAGGACCACCAGGGGGGGGGGGGGGCGCCACCCGCAGCCGCAGAGGGAAGGGAGCAAGAGGGAGCGCCCGAGTGCGGCTGGGTGGGTGGGGCTTTACTGAAGCCGGACAGAGCGAACAAGTTCACCCTCCTCCGAAAAATCCCCTTAAGGCCATACCTTCTCGTCCTACAACGAATCTCGGAATCAAATATCAAACGCTCCGTTAAACGAAGCAGGAAATAAAATAAACGGTTGAGATACGTGATTAAATAATTGCTTTCGCAAAATTTTCTGAGGTAATCATTTTATTTCATCTTTTATTTTTGCAGCCAAGCAGTCTTTAATTTTCAATCCCGAACGTAGTTTTAGCAGGAAGTTTTGACATTTTGACTGTCGAGCTATGATAAATTTGCCATATCGAGATATCGAAGGTCGTGAGAATTTTTCATTGTGTGTTCTTCTTTCTCGAGTCTAGCCTCGTAGCTGGTCTTCACGGTCGTCTTTTTCAACTTCCTCTTCTGCTTCTGAGTTGTTGTTGTTATATAGTTAAAGTCTAGATCAGCCATTGTTGGTTAATTATTCTTTGATTATCAGTAATTTCAAATACTGTGACACAATGGACTTGCTAGGGTCTATTCTGAACTCCATGGACAAACCACCGACAGTGAATAGTCAGAGAAACAGTTTGATTAAAAGTAATGACTTTCCACTCAATTTCATCTAACCTTAAAAAAGATTTATAGAACATAAAACTTATAAGTTGTTTTTTTCCAATATAAGTTTAATCGGCGACGATACTTTATGGATGACTTAGATTTCTGCCTGAATCAGTAGCTTACTGTTTCTGTATTTTGATTTTTTGCCATGAACCTGTCTTGTGTTTATTATCATATTTCTTTTTACTTATAAACTAATTGTATTACAGAGCAAAGAGAGGAAATCCAAAGGAAACAAAAAGAAGAACGTGCTCGTCTCCAGGCGTTTAGAAATGAGGTATGCAAAACCCTTTCATTGGCTACTGTGACTACTTTGTAGTACCTGCCTTGTATGAAGCTTGTCAACTCGTATCGTTTCCAGATTGAGCAGAAAATAAACAAATTCATCCAGGATGATACGCAGCACAAGTTCAAGTTTGATCCCATGGATAAAGTTTCCCGCAGTATTGTGTAAGTAATGATTTTTACTGCAGTAGTAATAACCCTTGTTGAAGAAGTTGAAGTTGAAGAAGAAGAATTTGTTGAGAATTTATCAACTATCAAATATATTACCTTACTTACACTGTTTCTATTTGGGACTTCTAGACATGATGTGGCAGAGATCGCTGGTGTTGCTGCATTTTCCTTTGGTGAGGAAGAAGTTGATAGAGCAGTTACTTTGTTCAAGAAAGAATCTGCTCCTTGTGATGATGAGTTGGCTGCTTTAAGGCGTGGAGAAGAATGGGATCCTCTCAAGGCACAAGCTGAAGCAGAAAGAGTATGTTCTGTTTTATTTACTGATTTTAAATTTGATTCAAAAATATACATGGCAGGATTTCTAACATTTCCTTCATTAAATTATTTTCAGCGAGAAAAAGAACTGCAGGAGGAGAAAGAGGCCAGCAGGAAGAGAAAGTCAGACGTTGTTCCTACTACTAATTATCAGGAGAAGTATCATCATCTCATCGGGAAAGAAGCTGCCCTGGATGCAGCACGAATCACTCAAACAAATAAACAGTATGGCTTTGGTAAGAAAATTGTGTCATCAACTCTTACCTCAAGTTTCCTCTTGTCAGAACTAGCTTTTTATACTTCATAAGACTCAGTGATTATAGCTTTTAAACTTATCATCAAATGTGTTACAGTTCCAAGTGCCAACAAGAAGGACCTGAGGTCCATAGAGCAAACACTTGCTGATATACAATCAAAGAAAAGGAAAAAGTTGAGCCATCCTGATGAAGCATCATCATCATCAACATCTGCAGATGCTGGTGGCAGTGGACAATGAAGATGTCCCTAGATGAATCCAATTCTTTTTCTCCTCCTTAAATTTTGGAGTTAAATTATTATTTGTACATATTCATTAATTTAAGATATCTAGAAAATCACGTTTTGTCATTTCTATACTGAATGACATGCTTCATATGTTTGTGCCTATTACCTGCCCTTAACTTACATTCATTGATAGTCATGCAAAGTGGTTGCCTACAATGCAATCTATTTCACGGCATTTGTTGCCATTTTTTTGTAGAGGGACTTCAGGTTTCACCTTAAGTGCCTGTTCTTTGTTATTCTAGTTGACGCAAATGTTGCTGAAAGGCAAAGGACATTAAACAGATATTCACAACCTACCTGAAATTCATACTCTTTTTATTACCTATTATCTCCAGCTGGAGTCAACAACAATAATAGCTCATAATATATATTTACATTATTTGGGTATACATTTTCAATAATTTTCAGTACTAATTGTGGCTAGTTAATATCCAATAGAATCTTTTGAATCCATGACATCAAGTTCATGTGCAGCACAAAGTTATGTAATGCATTTTTTTTGTTAAAAATTCCATTGAGATCACAGATAAGTTACAAGGTACACCTACAATATTAAATGTCAGTACATCAGATTTGTCAATTGTTTGAATTACTAATACCTAGTTAGATATATTCCGTGACAGTTGAGTATTTGGTGGGTGCAGGACGGGGTGCTGTTGTCCGTGGCAATGGAGTAGGGCGTTTTGCTGGAGCTGGTGCTGGTGAGGGTTCACCACCATCACCATCAGCTGGCTTCATCCACGAAAACTTAGTTTTCAAAACTTCAAGGGTCTGACATGGGTTATTAAGTCTTTCCTGATATGTTTTGGTCACCAAAGGCAAAAGTTCGCTTAATAGAAAGGCTGCGTTCTTTTGAATAAAAGATTTCTGGAAGAGAGTTGTTTAAGAACATACAGTCAAGTACAAACTCTGTTACACAAACTTGTAGATTTCAGGGAGCAGTTGTATACCCACCTCAGGATTTCCCAACTTGTCACTTTGGAGATTTACTTCTACATGTGACAACTGAGCACCAAAAACATCTGTTAATACTTGATCAACTGTATGTGCCAACTCTGTTGTACAAAGCCTTAAACAATCCTCCAAGAGAGATAAATATTGTCTTGTGAAAGCAACTGTACTAGCAGAGAGTACAATCCAGCTTTCTCCTGAACGACAAGTTTTCAATCAATACTCAAAAAACTTATTCAATAAAAGCTACAACCACACTCACAGTTTTTCTTACCTTGCACATATTTTTGCATATGGTTGGGAGACAAACCAGTTTCCATCACAAATTTAGTCAAAGCATCTTTATTTCCAAGATTAGTTGGACGCCACTTGTCTTCAACTGCTCGTAGTTTAACTGCCTCAACCGCTTTATCTCTAGCATCACTGAGAGCTCTTTGAAGTGGAGACCTTAGCAATCCATCAAGTTGATATCGTAAATCGATACCCAAAGATGTTAACTGTGAAAATCAGATCATATTAACTATTGACAGATTTTAACTATTGACAGATTTTTTGTTGACTCCACTTTTTGACGTAAATACATCATTATATAGAAGAACAATTACCTGATCACACTGGGTTCGAATGGTAACAACACATTCTGAAAGAGTAGAGATGGGTGACTGAGGCATGAATACTTGCTTCACCAAATGACTTGTGAGGTGAGTGAGCTCTGAACCAGCCCACACAACAAGTGCTGAAAGAAAAATTGAAATCTTGATCACAACAGAATACAGTAATACACAGGAAACCTTCAAATAATTTCAGAAAACTTTACCAGATGCACAGCTTGGAGAGTTTGGAAAGGCTCTGAGAAATTCACTTGCCATGTCCATCATGTTAGAAAAGAAAATTCCTCCGAGGTGTTTGACATAAACAACAGTTGCACCTTCTCGTTTCACTCGTCTTAACTGTGCTTTTAAAATACTACTGCACAATTTCAGGAAGAGATCACATGCCTGGAAATTTTAGGTGACATTATGATATTAGATAGTGAAAGAGAAGTGTCTGAAAAATTAAAAACAAGTTTGCTGATGGCATGTTGAGAGTTACCTGCGAAGACCTGCCTAACTGATTGAGCAATCGAACAGCACGCCTAGCAGCTCGTAAACCTCCTTGGAGAGATTTGTCTGGAGAGACTTCCAGCTCTTTCATCAGAACTTCTATAAGTGCTCTCCCACGCCCATCAACTTTACGTCTACAAAATTATTAGAGTTAAACTTATACTACAGTACTCATTCAATGGAAAACCTGTTTGGATGAGTGTTTAAGGTCTATTTACCTTATATCTAAAAGCTGAGGATCTTTACTTGTAGGAAAAGTAAACTGATTAGCCTTCTGGAGCAGAGCATATGCATCTTCAAAGTGCCTCTGAGCTATACAAACATCGAGGTCCTCTGGAAGTTCAAGGAGCCATTCAGGTAATTCTGCAATATCTGGTGAGCTTACAGCACAATTATCTTCAAATGCTGGAAACAGTAATAAAAAATATAAGTGTATGAACAATGTCAATTCCACACAATAGGTAGAATTTATGATAAGTTAGAATATCAATGGATAAGGCTACTCACGGTTCATTCCTGATGAAGAGTCAACACTAGAACTACGTACAGGGGACGTTTCTGAGGTAGCCACAGACTCTTGCCGTTTAGGTTGTTCTTGGGCCAGAGCTGCTTTCTTTGCTGCTTCAAATTTTTCAAGCCACTCTTTCTAGTGGTGTGACAAATGAAAAACAGAAAAGTTAGAACAAGATAGAACAAAATATCAAATCAATTCAAATTAAAAGCAAAACTCATCTATTCACTTACCTTGCTTTGATTGCTAGTGCACTGAAATAAGCGAGTGTCAGGGAAGGCCAGTAGCTTAAAAGCTGTCTTCACACTTCCCATGTCACGAACATTTACTGCAGCAAAACTTCCCAGTTCAATAAGTGTTTGGAATTTGTATCGAGCTGGTCCTCGTCTAAACAAAAGAAGTCAGAAAATTGACAATTATAATAATAAAAGTTAAGGAATCAACCTACATAGGCATCTTTAAGTGCTTTACCTGTTAGGGATCCAAGGGGCTAGGAGTAGACCATCATTAAAAAGAAATGCATGCATGCGTTGCATGGCAGTGCCTTCTGTAGGATCTAGTTCCAAGAGATCACCTTCATGAATTACACTTCTTGCTGGAGATTCTATCAAATCCTGGGAAAGAGTGTGATTGATTATACATGAAAAAAAGAAACAAGGGGCTCAGAGAAAAATGTAAATTATACATAAGTAAATAATGTGTAAAAAAAAATTATGCTGTTTAGGAAGGAAGCAGACTAATACTTACAACACAACCCTCAACTTTTTCCAACGCAGCTGTTAGCTTTCTTCTACGTTCCTCATCTTCTATCTGGAACTGCTTTTCTGGTTCAGCAGTGACATCTGTGGAACTCTCTCCCCCTGTGGCAGCTCCAGCGTTAGTGCCCCCAAGTAACGATGTACTAGCTAAAGCTGCTAGCAAGGAACGTTGTTCAGTCAATAAGTGAGACAACTGATACATCTCACTTTCAAGATCTGATATATAAGTTAAGGTTTTAACAAACAGGTATAAGGATGGAAATAGTACTGGAATGCTTTCTGTTTAGATGTTAAATGATCTATTTTAAAAAGGATACGTGATATTTCTTTGGCTGTTTCTATAAACTGTGTATAGTTCTGATATACATTCCTTTTCAGCTGAGCACTGGTGTCCTCTCCAAGACTTTGAATCTTCTGATATTGTTGCTGTAATTCTTGACCACCAACACATCGTTGTGAAAGTTCTCTGACATCTGCAAACAAATTTAGATCCAATTTTATCCAAGGTTGTCTTTAACCTTCAAACTAGTGTAACAAAACTCCTTTATGTGTCAATTTACAGTGGACACGACAGGATGCAAGATGAAAAGATTAAGGATCAAGAAGCAAAATATCTTTTTCTAAGGGGAGTTGACCAAAGTACCTACATTTGTCTGGATTAAAATCTGAACTTCCAATCTTTAAGTCAGCTATATCAGCCATAATTGCTTGGTATTTCGGTGCTTTAAAGATAAAACAGATGGTAAATTGAAAACTGTAGACCCTTGAGGAGAGAGAGACAAAACTGTTTCTTGAACATCACAAAAATAACCCCATTTCTTGTTTGTGATGACAGATGACAGAACGACCAGCAATACTAATGTCAATATCAATATTCAAACTCTACCACCAAATTACAAATTAGATGAAAAATTGTGTAAGCGGAAGTTGCCCCCCTTCACGTTACCACAAGTGTCTCATCCTACCGGCGTGCGCGTTTGATGATGTTGATAAACAAATTCTAATTGAGTCATTCATTTCCATCCCAAAAATGAATTTAGTTGGGAATCTTTCGTGTTTAAGCGTTGTCACTGTGCTGTTGTGTCATATTATTTGTGGGCAGAATGCTGATGGAGATAATTCAGGAATCAGAAATGCTCCTACTGTTATGATAGCTGTTCTCGCCAGAAACAAGGCACATACTCTACCGTATTTTCTGACACTAATAGAGAAACTGGTTTATCCCAAATCACGCATTTCACTGTGGTAAGGCTGAATATCTTAGCTTCAGAATCCAGCATTTTGTTTTTGTCTCAATTTTGTGATGCATTCTCACAGCATGGCATCATTAATGTTTCTTGATTGAACTTGTGAACAGGATTCGCAGTGATCACAACGAAGATAACACACCAGATGTTCTTAGAGATTGGATTAGTTACGCCCAGAAAACTTATGATTACCACTCAATCAATTCAGAAATACTCTCATCGCCACCTTTTCGGCTTGGCGAAGAAACAGGTCCAGCTCATTGGACCTCTCTCCGATTCACTCATGTTATTCAGTTGCGAGAAGAAGCTCTAGAAACTGCCAGACAGTTGTGGGCTGATTTTGTGTGGGTCTGTAATCCATATTCTGCTTATGATCTTTCTCTCATAGTTTACTGTGTTTTATCATTTATTATTTTATTGCAGTTCTTGGATAGCGATGTTTTTATTACGGAGCCCAATGCTTTGAAAGAACTAATAGCTAAAGATAAGGTTGTAGCTGCACCAATGTTGTCATCAGATGGAATGTATTCCAACTTTTGGTGTGGTATGACAGATGAATACTATTACAAGAGAACTGATGAGTATCAGCCTATATACTATCGTGAACAGACAGGGTGCTTTCACGTCCCTATGGTTCATTCCTCTGTCATCATAGATCTTAGAAAAGCAGTGTCCAACAAACTTACATTTGTTCCCAACAAGATTGTTAACTACTCCGGACCACATGATGATATTATTACATTTGCTGTTGGAGCCAATAAGTCAGGTAACCTTTGCAACTGTAATTCAAAAGTAAATCCTGCTCTGCACAAATCATTTTTATGTTACAATTTCAGATATCCCATTATTTGTATGCAATGATATGATGTATGGCTTTGTTATGATTCCTATGGAGCAAAATGATCCACTTGAAACTGACTACGATCAATTAGTAAATCTGAAACTAGAAGTGCTAGGTAAATGTTGTTTCGTTTATTGAAAATATTCCAAAATGAGGAAAGAGTGCTGTACTATTTTTCTTAAAGAGAAATTTTTAACTATGACTTTCCTTCCAATTATCAGCGGAATTTGACCCTCTGCCACTAAGTGATGTTATGGCCAAATACATCCAGTACCCAGAACCAGATACACTTGGTCTAGATGAAATCTATGTTATAAACCTCGAAAGAAGACCAGAACGCCGATTAAGAATGGAGAGGTCATTAAAGGAGCTAGGTATTGTCGCCAAGTTCATTCCAGCAGTAGATGGCAGGTAAGTTCAACATTTTTCTAAAATTGTGGGTTGTGTTATTGCATCTCAGTTCAAAAGTAAGGTAGGGTGTGAGACACAGGGAAGAAAAGTACAGAATCGTTATCATATATTTCAGTCATCCACTCAGCTTACCAAAATATTTAATCCAACTTGCATCACATTCAAACTTTGTACTTCTCACCAGTTTGGTTTTATTAATAATAGTAGTTCATGGGGTTCAAATCTCAATTTTGATATACAACATTGATTTCAAAATAAGCAGAGAGTAGTTGTCTTGGTTTAACCTATGCTGACCATACAAAACGTGGTGTACCTTTATACCTTAATGTAAAAAAATAATGTTAAAATATTTTGGATGAGCAAAATTCTGAGAGAAGTTTTCAATGTTTTGTTCTTTTAAAATTTTGGCATTTACTTAATTATTCTAAAGCAACATGCATTATTTAAATAAACCACCGAAAAAAAATTACATTATCAAAAGGAGAATTACACTTTCTTTGGCACCCATTTTATCTCAAATTTCCTCCCGACTTGGCTGAAAATTAAAAAAATTATTCCAGATTTTCCTACCCCAAATAAGTTTATTTTAGTGAAATAACACACACGAAAACTTTTCTCAGAGTTTTACAATCCAAATGCCAGGTTTCTGAAGGCTTCATAGGTACTGTACAACACTTGGGTTTTTCAAGGCTCTCAGGTCAAATTTTAATCGAGATTTTCATCCATAAGTTTCCCGAACAATAATCGATCGGCAGGCAAAGTCTGTTGGTGCTATGGAGACGACCGTGCAGTCGTCGCTTCCTCAGTTCCGATTTGTACTCACAACTTAAGAAATATTGGCACTGAAACGTGTTGCTTCGTGCCTTGGCACAGGACGGGATTGATCGCACTAGTCACGTGTCTGCGACGAAAAGTCGCCCATCCCGAGTAGTGTCGATGCCTTGAGTTCCAATCATTTCTAAAGGTTGGGGGTGGGACATTGTCTTGCTCGCGGTCCACGCTGCAGCCTCCCCTCAGACGTCAGACTGCGCGAGCCCCAGCAGCGGGTCGGGGTTGCGCCCGGGCTCGATGGCCACGGCGAGGCCCGCCTGCCGCCGGCCGCCGTGACCCACGCCGTTGAGGTTGACCCTGCGCGCCGAGGAGCGCGAGTACATGGAGTGGCCGCCCGCGTAGCCCATGGCCCCCACGTGGTGGCACGTGGTCTCGGTGGGCGGGCCGCCGAAGAGCGCGCCGCGCGCCGGGTCGGCCGACTGCGGCAGGAAGCGGCAGCAGCGGCGCGCGAGGGCGTTGCACATGCTGCGCCGGGCGTCCTGTGGAGCAACAGAGAGATAACGCATTGAGGACTGAGCTGTGAGCTGCACAGCAAAAAAAATATCTGTATAGATGAAATATTTAGTTGTCGCCTATTTTGTTAGCTAATGTTTAGCTAGCTGTGTAGCGACCACCGTAGTGCCCACCTTGATGTCCCTCATCCGCGACGTGTAGATGAAGGAGTTGGCCAGCGTCTTGATGACGATGAGCATGTTGACGGACCAGAAGATGAGCAGCGTGGGGATGGAGTTGACCTGGAGCGTCTCCCGGGGGATGAGGCAGTCCTTGTCGCACACGAGCATGAAGGAGATGACGCCCGGCATCCAGCCGATGAGGTACGAGCCCAGGATGAAGAGCGTCGTCACGATGGCTTTCTTGTTGCGCCGAAACTGGGGCGATCCTGCGGGGCAACCGACGCGTGGCCGGGTAGCAAAGCAGGTAGTGGCACACTCAGAAAAAGATTTACCCTTGTAGCTAAAAATTACCTGTATTTGGATAGCTAACATTTGGAGCAATTCAATTAAAAAGTTATCTGTACAGCCAAAAACTTTGTTCTAGAGCAAAACGTTTATCCATATCTCTAATTTTTAGCTACATAGCTCCAAAATGTAGCTATCCATATACAGCTAATTTTTAGCTGCACAGGTAATGCTTTCTTCTCAGTGCAGGGGACCCCCGGGGTGCTGCTGCTACTCAACTCACCCCCTCTCCGAGACCGCGCGCTGCGCATCAGACTGCTGGCGGCCGAGCTGTGGTCCCCCGTGCCGCCGTTGGGCTCCGGGCCAGGTGCCTCGGCCGCGCCCCAGCCGCCGGCCGCGGCGCCCCCGGGGTCCGTGGCCGCGCGCTGGACTGCAATCAGCGGCAAAGCGACACGTCATTGGGGCTCCGGCCGACCTGGGGGTGATTGGACCCCTGCGGGGTAGGCCACCCGAGCGCCCCAGCGCACGGCTGTGCGACGGGCTGGCCTACCCTCCACTCCGCAGGGGCTCCCACCGGCCAACAACGAGGCTAATTTACACGACAAAGGGTTTGAAGTGATAAGAGTTCGCTTTAAAAAATGAAAGAAAACTTGGAATAGTTTTACAACATTTTTAACATGATGAGTCGTTAAATCTCACATGGCCACACCTATTGTCATAATCGCGTGCAAAAAGGACCCCATGGGACCCAACGTTTTGAAATGATTTCCATACATTTTTTAAAAAATTGAATCAAATGTTGTTTTCTGAAATTTTGCTGCGTTTGCTCACCGAGCATGTGCGCGCGGCCGTTGAGCTGGCGCAGCTCGGCGCGCTGGTGGGTCGAGCCCGTCCGCCTGAAGCGGTGCCTGTTCCGCTCGTGCCGCTGCACGATGATGTAGATGTGGACGTAGATGCAGATCATGATCATAAGGACGAAGAAGAAGAAGAGGGAGAAGGTGATGTGGAAGTCATAGTGCGTGAGGAACCTGGAGGGAAAATTTTGGTTGTAAGTTATAGGTTTCTTTCTTTTGTCTAACACTGCGACGCAAATCAGGCACACACTTACTGGTAGCCGCAGTTGCCCGGCGCGCGAAACCCGTCGTCCTCGAACGAGGCAAAGTAGGCGAAGAGCGTGGCCTCGGGCAGGATCCAGATGGCGGCCAGCCCGACGCAGAGGTAGGCGTGGCGGACGTGCGAGTGCAGCGGGCGCAGCGCGCCCAGGTAGTGGTTGGAGGCGAGCGCGAGCAGGTGCAGCATGGTGACGAGGACGGCGCCCAGGCGCAGGGCCTCGAGGGCCAGCTTGACGCACGTCAGGCGCTCGGGGAACACGCGGTAGCACTCACTCTTGTGGTACACCTATTCGAGCCCGCAAAGAAATGAAAAGTGAGAGAAGTGCGTATAAATAATCTTGCGTGCGTGTCTTACGGCGGGTTCGTTGGGTGGTTGAGTGCGTTCTAAAATAGGTTGCTGGAATGTACTCTTTAAACTTTTTATAGTAGAAAATTGAAAATTTGCCTAGTAACTACTTAAGTTTTGTGCTGTAGTAGTATTACCACGAAATTCTTTAGTATTACTATAGACTTGTTCCTAGTACGACTAAACGTTTTCGTAGTATTGCTAAACGTTGTCCTAGTATCATAATTACGGTAGTAGGAAAATTTTAGTAATACAAAACAATTTCTTGATGATATTAAAGAGCACAAAAATTTAATAGTTACCAAACAAAATATTCTAGTTAAAAGCGAGGTATATAGAGTTTGTAGTGTGGACGACACACACGTACTTACCACGTCGAACGTGTCCTGGGGCGCCACGCTGTTGAGGATGTTGTTGATGAAGTAGGAGACGCCTAGGAAGAAGGAGGAGATGGTGTCGGCGCCCGTGAGGGACAGCGAGATGCGCATGGTGGTGGACAGCGGGCGGCGCTTGATCCAGCACGTGGACAGCAGCACGCACGCGTTGTTGAGCACGGACACGGCGCACACGGCGATGAGCGTGGCCGCGCAGTAGAACTCCACCAGCGCGTACGTCTTGTCGTTGACGTCGCGCAGGCTGGAGGCGGGCCACGAGGCGCACGGGGACTGCAACATATGCATTGTGAGTACCAAAAAAGAAAGGGAGAATTTCATTTTTTTAAAAACAACGCTCCCCGGTCGCACTTTAGCCTACTTACGGCGGTAGCATTTGTGACGTTGTGCTGCGTGCTGTTGGCGTCCCAGAGCGCCGTCCCCGTCGGGGGCGGCTCGTCGGCCTCCATGGGCGCTGCCACGCCGCCCCCCGTCGGGCCTCGGCCTGCGCCCCGCCGCCGCCTCCGCCGCCGCCGCCGCCGCCCCCGCCGCCCTCAGCCAGGGGAGCCCGCGCCGCCGGCCTGCGTCACACAGAGGGAGAGGAGCCGTCGTGAGAGCGTTCCCGTGACCGTCGTACCTTTGCGCCGCTTTGCGCTGGCGGGTCCAAGGAGCGGACGCTGCTTTGTGTGTCCCGCAGAGAGCCCGGGAGCAAAGGCATTCCCGTCGTGTATGGCAGAGTCGGCGGCAGCATTTCTCCCTCCTCATTTCTTTTGGCAAACTCTCCATGGCTGCACCTTGCCGCCCGCCCCGGAGGGGCCAGAGCACGGGAAATGAAACGGAGTCCAGCAACCC